ACGACCGTACCGTTCGGGACCCCAAGCACTGGCTGAAGTTCGACAGGCTCCCACACCTATGCGCTAAAATCGCAAAGAAAAAACGTAACATGGCATTTAGTTGCCGGTTCGCGACCCCAAACATGACCTTGGCAGCCCCTGGGTTGGGAAGCCCTGCCCTAAGTCATTTCAACGCTTTGTTCACGGCATATGAAATAGGTCAATATTTTGGAGAGTATGAATTCCCGGTGCTAAAGTAATGTAAAATGTTTGAGGAAAAACTTTTCCTCCAGCTGACGAACGAGAAGGCCGGAATGAAATATCTTTAAATTTCTCGAAAATATCTGGAAAGCCCAGGCATCGCATCACTTTGGGACCAAAACAGCTGATAATTGGAGTGGGGGGGGGGGGTAACTTTGCAGCAGGGCTGTCCGTGTTGGTCATTTGCTTTACGGTAGCCAACATTTGTGCTATTAATATTTGTGCGGTTGTCATCTATGCTTGTTGTTCGAGCAAGCGAGATTCCTGCTGATCATACGAGATGTCGCCAAAGTAGACGTTTTCAGTGGTATCATGGAATGACTGGCTTTGTGTTCCATTGGATTTCATGCGGTTCCAGGTCTTATCCCACAGGCTACATAGAGGGAGACACCCGATAGAACTGTGAATTTTGGGGCACAATATCCCATGGAAAACCTTCAGATAAAATATGCTGCTTGAAATAAGAATACCGGAACCTTTTGTTTCGAGCGGAAATCTTTATTATCAGGAGTCACATTGCACAATAGCGTGATTTTTTTTCTGTTGGGCGAGTAGAGTGGAAGCCTCTTCACCTTCTATCAACATACATCTGAATTTTTGGGATCTACTGCCATCTGCTGAACCGATAGCGAACTTGAGATTGCAAGATGCAAATTTGGAAAGACGATTTCGAAGACGATGGTCAGGCATCTTATGTGTATTTTTAAATTCGTTTTGACCATGGCGGTCTGTCATCGAAAATGACAGAAATGTAAAACCGGCTATGCTAATTCGTAGTACGGAATGTATCGAAGGAAGACACTCGAGCAGATATTAGGGAATCTGGACCAGATCGAAATAATAATTAAAAAATACTCATAGGTCCAGTGTGAAACGGATTAAGTGCTTTTGCCAATATATGCAGGATGCGGCAAAAGTCAGGGAACAAAGGGATTTTTGAGGAATTTAAGTTTCAAAGTGACTGCTTGATGGCAGCACATTACCGTATCTTTCTTTTTTAAAATCGATTTGGCCTACAAAAGTCCAGTGAAAAGTCCTGCTGCATCCACAGAAATTGGCTGCAAATGAACAAAAAAATTACCCACCTTGGCACTTTGGTCATGTGTCATGCTCATTACTGTTCATATTGCATACCACCATGCTTACATAATTTTGCCAAATTTTCAGATTTCCAAATGTCAAAATTTGAGGGACATATCAGAAACGTTGAGACGCGTCATTCAACGTCATTCCATCAGCCTAAATTTCAAAGTAACTTAGAAATTGTATTTTCCCTTCAATTGAGGATTTAAATGCAGAATAGGCAAGGTAAATGAAATGATCAGGGCGAAAGGAAGAAGTGGCGGAGCTTAAACGAAGAAGGAAAGATGAAATAAGGTCACCCCCCAGCTAAGCTTAGGAGGTGATGAACAGGACCATGAAGAGTTTATGGTGGATGATATTACTAAGTTCAATGGATTCTTCCTTGTCCGATCTGGCTAACCCCTGTTCCATGGAGAACGGGCAGGAGTCATTCAATGCCAGGAGTTAATTATGAATCCTATCACCAAGGGGATAAAATTCACTGTTGTGGAAAGAAAACGGGCATAGCGTGCTTTGAAGAGACTGCAAGAGATGAGAGGGATTCAAGAGGGATGCAAGAGATTCCTTCGCCAACGGACTCGTTATCAGTGCAAGGGGGGAGGTGGAAAGGAAGCCAGAAGTAGGGGAGATGGATATCTGCATCGGAAGGGGTGAGCCAAGGTCGACCACTGTTCGAAGGAAGAAAGGGAGGGTATAAAAGATGTTGCAAGCCGATACCCTGATCAGTCCCGAAGTGGTCTCATTCATCACCAGTTTCCGTCGACACCACCGAAGGGTAAGTCCTTGTCCTTTCTTCATTGTAAATGTTGTAAAAATGTTTGGGTGTGAGGAATTGTGGCGAATTTCTGATGTTTAAAATTATACAGTAGACGCTACCAGGAAGACGGGAGGTGGTGCAACACAATTCAGAGGATCTTAAATGCCACTAATGCAATCACCATCCGTGGATGGCATAAGGAACCGAGGACGCTGTCGCTTGCGCCATCTCTGGAGGGAATGAGGAACCGAGGACGCTGTCGCTGGCGCCATCTCTGGAGGGAATGAGGAACCGAGGACGCTGTCGCTGGCGCCATCTCTGGAGGGAATGACCTTGGCTCCTGCGACTGGCTGGCGCCATCTCTGGAGGGAATGAGGAACCGAGGACGCTGACGCTGGCGCCATCTCTGGAGGGAATGAGGAACCGAGGACGCTGACTCTGGCGCCATATCTTGAGGCGAGGGCGAATTGTTGATCGCTTGCGCCGTCTCTGGAGGGAGAATGGTATCCCGTATCTTCTTAGGGAACAGAAGAATAACTCTGTCTCTTGGTTGTTACTCTACTGCATGGCAGGAAAGAAACAAGACTTCATTCTCACTGTCAGAGCTGCTCCCGACATCTCCAAAGTAAGCTCTGATGGCGCATGAGGTGGGAAAGATGTGTGCGTCTTAAGTGAGACGCGACGTTCAAAGTCAATGCGAATGACTTTTGTCGCCGAGCTTCACTCCACGAGAGTCTGGAGACGTATTTCTCACAATATTCTAATTAAAGTTGAGTCGAGATTGTGAGCTAATACAACTCTAAAGGTAAACTCCCCAAGCAGCATGTTTACATTCATAAAGTTTATGTTAATTTCCTGCGTATTTAAAGAGCCAATTCATACTACCACACTGTATTTCACGCATTCCGTTTCATACTTTGGAACTCAAGGTTACTTGGACGAGTACACAAGTACTCATCCTCACCAGCACATCAAGAGTACCAAGATGACTCACTAGTTCCTTCTCCCGTACCAGGACATCGAGAGAAGGAATAGATGTTTAAAGAAGCTCTCTTCTATTAAGCGTATAGAAACTATAGTACTTGTGGAGCACAGATTCAACTCTTCCATAATCCCGTGCACTGCTGTAATAAGCCTAGATTCAGCAATTAATGATTCTTTGAGTCATATATTATTAAAAAAATATGTAATAGTTTCCTGCTTTTCCATGGATTGCATAATAAGAAGTGGAAGGATGGTAAGAAAAACTGATACAATATTGTGAAAACCAGTATTTAAAAGCATTTGTAGGGTGCAGGGAACAAGGGTTCCATCTAGTGAGGAATCGTGGTATTGCAACAGCGGGATGGTCAACTAAAGTTTCATATGGAAAGTGTGATGCTAGCTTTGCATAAGCTTGATATGATGTACTACGTCAGATGGAGTGACGTCTAGTTTACGTAAAATACACGTACACTTTGGTGACGTAAACATAGGAACGTTAATTTTATGTAAACGTGTTGTTATTTTCATGGCAATCGCAAGAAATTTACGTTGTTTGCAAAAAATTGATATCTTGATTGCGTAAACGTGCTGCTTGGGTCCGTTTAGTTCTCTAGACGACTTTGAACAGAGAAAACTCAACAAGGATGGCGTTGATGTGCGAATTTTTGCATATGAAAGTGTGCGATTATTGAAGAAACAACATGGATATTTGTATAAAATACTAATTAGATACGGAATGGGCCCGCACAAAAGGAAAAGCAACTTCTCTAAACATAAAAATTATACAACCGACCCGATTCGCGATTGTTTTAGTTTTTTTACTGTTTCAAATGGTTTTCTCTTAATGCTGATGAACTTTCTTTGGAGAAACGTGTCGCCATCATCAATTTCTTTGTGAAGGAAATCTTTTCGAATCGAAGCATCGTTTTGCATGTGGATAGACTCTACTAGACTTCTGGCTATGGTGTTTCGTTTAAAGACAAGATATATGCCGAAGATTTGCGCACGATCAATGAATTGAAGCAACGCATCACTGAGATTACTGGAGTTACCCTTCGCTGACGGCTAGCATGATCGAGTTGGATGGTGCTCAACGTCATGGCCAGAAATTAGTCACTTTAGCGCCTGAACCTTTCGTCCAGCATGCAGTTGCAGCATCCAGAAGCTGAACAGCACGATTATGAATTCTGCCTAAGATGTCGGGATTGCATTCGCTGGCGCTGGAGATGTAGGACCAGGAGACGAAGAAGGGAGTCGGGAGTCGGGAGTCTCTACGAGGAGAGACTCCAGTTCGAGCGGAAAGCGCTCAAGGCCTTCAATAACTCATTCGTAATAACGTTTGTGATTTTTTTTATAATCATAAGCAAGGGTGGTTTTATTGGCATGTGAGGGGCTGTTTCTTTCGATGACAGACCGAGGCGTTGAAGAAGGCGGGTCAGGGGCCCCTGGACATGAATTGACCCGGATCGAGAGAGACTCATTCCGAGATCGCATCCGTGATCCAAGGGAGATAGTGACGGACCCTCGTGTAGACGCCGGGGAGATTGGGCCTGGCACAGCCGATTCCTGCCGATACGAGACCGATCAGCCGATACGCGCCTCCTTCTCGCACGAACATCGGTCCCCCGCTGTCTCCCTGCGGGATCGCAAACGTTTGAATTTTGCAACTCGGGGATTTTGCAACGGCGAACGTTCCGGGACTCACCTGACAGGAATCTTTGCCTCCTTTGAGAATGCCGGCGCAGAATTGACCGTCTTTGATCCGAAAGTAGCCTTTCAGCAGCTTCGAGCACCTTTCGTTGTCCACTATGGGAACGGTGACTTTCTGGAGCACGGATGCCAGTCCTCCTCCTGCAAATCGGCACTTCGGACTCAGTTTTGTGCACCGTTATTTATATTAATTTTTTTTTACTGTGAATGTAATCTATTTGTAATCATTGTATTCGTTCATCTTGAAGGGTTTCATGCTTTCTTGTCGTGTATTATTTCTTACAGATTAATTTTTTTTATTCCTCTTCATATTTCTACGATTTATTTACGTGCTATTCGTATTTTCTGAAACCCGTAGCAATACCCAAAGTGAATTCTCGCCTTCTCTCATGCGTCCCCATCCGGCAACGGACGCGGCAGCAACGGAATCGTCTTTGGACACGGGGAAGCAGATCGGCTGGACGAATCGATCGAATTCCACCGACCGATTCAAGGTGAGCACGGCGACGTCGTTGCTCAGGTCCGACGGATCGAAATCCTCGTGAACGCGGATCTTTGAGACGCGGAAGGAGAGGGAAGGGGGAGCCTCGCGTCGATTCAGGTTGTGCTCTTTCACCTCGACCAGCAATTGCCTCGGGGTGTAGCTGTGGGAGAAGAAAAACGGGTGCAGTAAAAAGAAGGAAAATAGAATGGGGGGGAAGGGATTCGACGAACGATGAGACGCAGTGAGCGGCGGTGAGGACGTGATTGGCGTCGACCAGAGATCCCCCGCAGAAGTGACGCGAGCGTTTCCCGGATTTCTTCAGCGAGGCGACGAAAGGGAATTCTCCTCTCTGGGCATCCTCGCCTCCCACGATGGATGCGACTGCCGGTTCTTGTCCTTTTGCCTCTTCAGATTCCAGCGGGAAGCTTCTGCCGCAAACTCCCTGCTTCTCGGTCGTCGTCGAGGTCTCAGTCGTCGTTGGTGCCGCAGTCGTCGTCGGTGCTGCGGTCGTCGTGGGTGTCGCGGTCGTTGTCGTTGCATTCTTTCCTTGTGGAACTGTTGGCGGTGATGAGAACGCTTTGGGATGATCAAAGCTTTTGCATATATTCTTTCAGTATTTTTTAAGTAGCACGTTTCGGGGGAGGGGGGGGGGGGGTGAAAGCCTGTGCAACTTATGATCAAATGGGAAACAGATTGAAATTTCTTCTGTTCTTTAGGGCTTGGCATTCTTGTTTTGCAATGTTACGTTCCTTTCTGGTCGTTTATGGGACGAAAATAATGTGCGAACAAAAAAATATGAAAACTGTGAACTCTGAGTTCGTTTCGATTGGAACATGCCCATTCTTTTGGTCGGTGAGAGTAAATTAATGTGTTTATTATTATTATTTTTTTTTTGGGGGGGGGGTGAAATGTTTCTGACTGGATATTGTGACAATGAACATTACGAAAATTCTTTCGTGATTATTGTTGTAACTCCGAGTCATCACAAACTAGGTTGAGTTTCTCTCAAAGAGAGGTATTGTCTTTGAATTGATAGGCATTATATTTTAATTCATTTCGTACGCCGTTTATATCTCGGTAAATATTTATTCTGCATCAGACATCGTGTCATGGGCAAAAGAACAGGCCACAAGGTCACGTTGCTTCTGTTCGTGTACGGCTCTATTATTGTGAAATGTGCGAAATGAATTGCATCCGTTTCAGCGAAATGAAAATGGCGGCTGCAATGAGTTGTAGCAAATGTTTAACTTTTTTTTATTCCGTCAGGATCATCCAGAATTTTGCACGCATGAGATTTGGAAGTTTCCCCGAAAATTTGCAGAATGGAATGTTCGAAGAGGACTGTAAAACTGGCGAAAGGCATGCCAGCGTCCCCTTTCTTATTTTGTTTTATACTTTACGAGGGCCGAAGTTAAAAATGTTCGTTTGTTTATGGTCGGACCATAATAGGGGATGTTGGCTCATTTTCGGCGAATGACTCGGAAGGCTCCGAAAACCAGCGTGAGATGGAGCTAAAGTGGTCGTAGTAGGGAATCACTTCCCGAATTCTACTCAGACGAGTTCCCTGTCCTTTTGACACAGTTCCCTATGATTTCTCACAGATTTCAGAGGAAGACAATGGAACTCCTTGAAACATCTCTCTGAATATGAAAGCTAGCCCTGGAATGAACTAGGTAATTCCGGCCCGGAGATCCGTGGAAGGATCCTTCTACTTTCCATGATAAGCTATGCGACCTTACTGCTCTAAGACGTTGAAAAGTCCCATTATGAGTAAGGCCTGCCTGGTCCTCCTCTGGGAAGGAGGACTCCTCCTCCTCCTCTTGCATTCTCGTGTGTTTCCGCTCCTTGTATGCCTTTGCATCTGGAAGGGACGCTTTGCTCGAGCTATTCTCAGACGAGAGGAGTTTTCCTTTGTTGTTTTTCCTTCATTTCCTTCTCCATCTGGGAGAGATGAAAGAGCAGTAGGGGGCCAAAAAATGTATTCTTATCTCTGCAAGATGCGATTCATGTGGGTTTTTTTTCCCTATATCTTTTCACCATTGTGAAAAGTCGGTTCATGGTTGGGGCATGTGCGGTTCCCCAACGAAGAGCCGAAGTTGGCTCGATGACGGGCCAACAGGACATTCCCGACCATAAGCCAGTGATGGCTCAACTAAGACTTATATACGCGTCGACGAAAAGCCATCGATGAACATTTTTTGATTGGTCTCGAAAACCTTGATGGAAAGAATTGAGGAATTCCACGAATTAGAAAGTCCATGCGTATGCGTGAACAAAAAGCAATTCGTAGATTTTTTTCCCTTCGATTCTTACTGGAGACTCCTACCTTTATCGTGACCTTGAAAAAAAAATGAGAAAAAAATCGCTGTCATTTCCGGCATCGAGATTTCTTCATGAAAAATACATTAGCCTTTTTTATTATTCACCAGAAGCCACCTGGGTAGCACAGCATGTTACACTAACATTGGCATAACGTTGAGCCAACGTTGGCTCAACGTTAGCTCAACATGGCTTCTGGCAAGTGCATCTACGCCGCCTTTAAACGTGTTCATCTCGTCTTAAATTAATCCGATTCCTCAATTTGTGTATGTCACCCAATATTTCCTACAATTATGGAAAATGATACCGAAAAAAATTATATATATGGAATTTGTTGGAAGTCATCATATCTTTCGTTGGTCGGTGAAACTTTTTGAAAATATATTGACATTTTCAAAAATGAATCCTTAGGGAGAAATAACTGGAGCAGATATTTCTCGGAGTCGTTATTGCGTTAGAAAACCGAAAATTTGGAAGGAAAAAATTATTCAGGACCTTTTTTTGGCAAGGGGGTGTCGATAAATTTACGAGATGAATCCGGAAATTCGCACTCAAGGTCATGATTTTCGAAGCTGTCGTCGTTAGACTGCCATGGTGGAAACGAGAGAGCAGTCAACTTCGGGCCAACGATCGATTCGGTTGTCGACGCATAGGAAGTTTTATTTTCAGCGAGTTACGCATTCGCGTCTGAACCGTGAAGTCCCGACGAGAAAGAACCGTGAAAACTCACTTTCCGTGGAACGAGGCAAACCTGCAGCCAGGGCAACGGAAAGGAGCTGGAGAGCCACGAGGAGATGCATCTCGAAGGGGACGGGGATCCCGACTGGCGTGTGTTTGTCCTCTCGGGTCACGAGGTCGCACGGGGTCGTGGCACCAGGTCACGGCACCAGGTCACGGCACCGCCGACAGATGGTATCTTCGTCCCCTTTCCACTACTTTCATTTCTACGCGAACAGATGGCTGCTTTACTCTTTTCGTCTCTTTAGTCGCAGTACTCAGTCCTGAAGCCCAGGCAAAAATATTCTTTTAAACTCTAAATAAAAAATTTTATAAGGTCGTATATAAGTCTATTATTTCTCTCTAAAGAATTCTATTAAATCACTGTATGGAAATTCTATGTAGATTCTATAGAAATCCTATCAAGAATCTTACCAAATTTCTAGAGAATTCTACCAAGACACTAAAAAAATTATAAAGAATTTCTATAGAGCTGCATGAATTTCTTTCTTGTCACTGTCTAGAAAGTTTACTGAATTTATATTGAATATCATGAACTTCTGTAGTCAGCGTAAAAAAAAAATATATTGAAATCCCATAAAATTTCTTTGAAAATAAGTAGATGCAAATAGGGTTCTCAAAGGAAAAGATAAAGAAGTAAAGGTCAAGAATCAAGAAATGTTACGCTAATTATGACTCTTTTTCGGTCGTTTCTTCCGAAGTATCTTTCACCCCACACTAATATTATACCAAACTGCTCAGGAGGAGCAGATGAATCGATTGATACCATATACTGCACCAAAAAAATGTAGGTGACTTTTGAGTCGCCCTGTACAATCACTCGAGCAGGCATGAAGATCGGGTGGATCTGCAGGACCCTTGGAAGGAGACCAGGGCCAGTATTCAATAAAAGTCTTACGCAATGTCTTAATAAAACAATTTCTGCACTCTCTTTCCGTGCTAAGCACCCCGCTATGGAAATGTAATACTAAATACGATATTGATACGGTCACTAGACTCGACTCGGGTCACCTTAGGTCAACCGGATGCAAAGGTTTTAAAGCCATTTCATACCAGACGTATTGGCGTGATGCGACAAAAAAAAATTCTTGTACTCGGAGAGAGAAAAAAGTATTATGAATGCGATTAGCAGTGACCTTCGCAACGGGTGCCACCTCTAACCATGCATCTTCCTTTCCGTCGCGATGGGGCGCCGCTTGTCGCGGTCGTAATTCTGCGCCCTGGGCGATCTAAGAAGCGTTTTGTCTCCGTCTCGGGACATCGCTGATGCTGCACATCGGGAAACACTGTCGAGTGTCCCACACGTGACAAAGGGGTTGCTTGTCGATGTGGGTTTGCATAAATATGTCACTCGTGAGGCATTTGCGATCAGTCAGTTGTCTGAGCCCCAATCGCTCCCAGTCGTGATTGGATTAGTAAAAACATGGCGTAAAACACGGGACTGGAATCTCCCGTCGCCGCTCATCCGAGTACCATATATTATTTCTGTATCCTGTAAAACTCGATTTCCCTCCTCCATCCACTTTCTTTTTGGGTTTAGGGACTGCAATGCTGCAGAATATCGTATCAAACGAGATTTGAACATCATCTGGAGTCCGATACATGGCATTCGGCACCATGACAGAATCGACGAGGGAATATGAAACCCCGAATAAGCCAATGATCACGAAACTTGAAGTTATATCAGAGACGGTCCTGTCGGGATTGAAATCTCAGGTCGCCCGATCCGCGAAGCCGTTCTTTCCAAGGTGAGAGTGATCGTGATCACCGAGAGGTGAGTGATCAGAGTGATCATCGACCTGTTCGGCTGAGAATCAGGCAAGGTACTCACGACAAGAATCAGATTCTACTGAATCTGCATTACATTTCAAGCTGTGATACAACCGAAGCCAACGACTGATTTGATACACAACTGCAGGACAATATTTCAGTGAAATGCTAATGATGACGACATACCGCACAACAGTAATTACGCTGACACTGCATGGGACGATCCACTCAATCGAGAAAGACTTTAAGCCGGAGAGTGATGTGCCCATCTTTGATGTAATTCCGAGTGAAGAGTTCGCTGCGTTGCACGAAGGCCGACGATCCGCAGCCTCCGCCGAATGGAGCCGTTGGTTTCTTGAATATCTCTCCGATCTCTCCGTCATCCTTGCAAGTTGTTCTCGGGTCCGCGGCGTATTCGATGTTCACGGGATCCCCGTCTTCCGTTTGATCCAGGAGAATCAGGTGAAATTTGTGGACGAACGGCCAGAGGAGGTAGTTATCGTAGACTCCTCTGGCGATCCCGGCGTAAACGTTGACGTAGCTCAAGAAGACGCTCGGACGGGACGCATCCCCGGTGGGATACATGAACATGAACATGCGATAGCCGTTGAGTGCGATGTAGAATCGCTCCGAGTACAGTTTCTCTCCCAGAGTGTAATTCTCTAGGGTCTCCATGGGAATCTTCCAATCGTAGACGAACACCCGCTTCCCCGTCGCCACGTCGAAATCCACGAGGTTGTCGAATTCGCCGGAGGACAAGGCCCTGGCCGTCTCATCTTTCATGGCCTCCAACGCCTCGAAACGTGACTCCAGGCCTTCCAGTCTCCGCGTGAGGTCTTGGAGTCCCTTTTCTAAGTTCTGCAGCCACTGTTGCGTGTAATCGGATCTGTTCACGGAATCCTGATCTGCTTCTGCATCGCCGGGCGCTTCTCCTGCAAAGCCACCAAAATCACCGGGTCGTGACGTGTCATTTTCAAATCATGTTCACTACTATGAACCGAACATTACTTTGACAAATCCCTACCGGTGGGAACTAAAGGAAAAAAAAGGTAACTAAAGGACAGACAAATATTTTAGAATGGTGTCCGCTCGATATTCTGATTCCATGTTAGAAAACAAAAGAGATGTGCTTAACGGCTTACGGATTGTGAAAACCAATTCATTTTGCCCTTCCTCCGGATATTCGGACGGTAACGGGTCAGCCGTGTGTGCAAGATGAACGATGACGACGAAGACGAAACCAGAGCACTGCAAGCACCAATTCATCATCATGGCGATATGTTGCCAGCGAGAGCTCGGGTTCTCGCCTGCGAATCCGACGAGGCGAGGTGGAAGACTGCCGCCAAAGGAGGAAAGGCAAGAAGGTTTTTTTCTATTTTAATTTGTCTTTCTGGGCTCGCCCCAAAGCCAACGTCCAACCAGGACTGACTCAAAAATGGACTATAGATGGAAATTACGAAGGGGATTCCCCATCCCCTCCAGGAACAAACTGAAGGATATGGTACACGGCCAGGAAAATATAAATTCCAAGGTCTTGTCGTCTTCTCCTCGAGGCGTTGGTTTTTTCCTCCTTCATTTCAATTCAAGGACGGCGTTATCATTCAAGCAAAGATCTATCCCTTTATACTCTGGAGTCTGGGAATACAGAAAGTAGCTGAGGAACAGAAGACTAAATTCTATATGCCGATAACGGTCTTGGGTTTCAAGAAATAATTTAATCGTACGTTTCGAAAATTTAATTTTTTTACGGTAGTCCTGGGAGAAACCGTCTGAATCTATTTCAAAACATCGGCTTGAGTCTTTATCTTTTCTACATCCCTGCAACGAAATCTTGTGATGATACAGTTGTTGCCCGCTTCAATCAGCGCCGTTAATAGGAACTAGAAATTTGAGAACACGACCAAACCTACAGACTCTAACTGAAAATATTTGGGTTGACCAAAAAATAATGAGACTTTGATATTAACAAGATATCTATGCAATTTAACATATAAAAGTTTGAAGAAAAAAAAACCAAGTAAGTTAATAATCAACGACTGCTATGGTAAAATAAAAATAAAAATAAAAATAATTCTTGCATTCGGGTTTTAATTCAAATCTTTTCATGCGTCATTATTTGTTATTGTATATGGAACACACCAAAGAGAATTATAGATGAGGAGATGACAATTAAATTGAATTGTTAAATTGTTGCACCCAGCTTTGCACAGTTAACAATCCAGGGGGTCCATCTTTCTATATTGATCCTGGTGAATGCTGGTAGGATTGGTGCCACGTTTCTATTCTGTGTACACATCAAATCTAAAATTTTATTTGGTGTGTTCCATGTGTCGCACTAACAAATAATGACGCATGGAAATATTTGAATTTAAACCCAAATGCAAAAATAACTTTATTATTATTTTACCTTAGCAGTCATTGATGTGTAGTTCATGTGTAGCTCGCATGAAATGAATTATCATTGTCCTTACCTCGCTGCTGAATCCAACGCAATGCCGTACGAAATTGCATTGATATCGAACATCGGAAGCTACTTCTTTATATTTGCCAGCTCTATAGAAATAAATAAAATCTCTTTCCCTCTTCTGAACGGAGAGATGGCATCCGATTAGCTGTTTACAGATGATGAAAGATAGGCAAACACCCAAAAAACTTGAGGGACGATTCAAATAAGATCCAATTATCAACAGTCGTGCAAAAAAAAGGTCGTTGAGAGCCCGAAAGTTGCCATGAATTTGATCATTCCGCCCACTCCTTACCAAGCAAACTCGTCAGAGGTGAGTATCACTTCAACAAATACAATAAAAACAAGCAGAAAATGGAAAAGGACCGAAAACGAGAGGGGTACACACGTTGGCGTGCTATCTCATCTGAAAGCAAGCATTACTCCCGATAGTGTTTACCCCTGCAGTGTACCAGCGGTGGGTGAAGGAACGATAGAAACGCGACGGGGAGTCGCACTGCTGGAAGGGTGAAGGTCCTGGCGGTTCTACTCGGTTGTATTGTGGGAAATGTGGAAATGCTTCCAGAGGAACGGTTCTGTCTTTCGACGTATGGTTCTATAGTGTAACCCATTCGTTCAAATTTGACTGTGGCTGTTCTGCCCGTTTCCCAAAACATTAGGAATTGGGATTTAATGAAAATTGGGTTCCAACAGGATGGGGCAACTGTCCGTATTGCCGCGCATAAAAGAAGTTGACAAAAAAACGTTGCTTCCGAACCGTCTCGATTCAATATTTGGAGATTTTTATGGCCGGCTAGAAGCTGACTTCGCCAATTTTTTATTTTTGAATTGGGCATTTTAAAGTCCATGCGTTCACGAAAACAGACCAGGGTCCTGTAAAGAATTAAGCCGAAACATCGAACTTGAAATAGCCAAAATTACCATGGACACGATTCACAAAGTGATGGGCAGAACAGTGACACGTGCGTGTCAGTACATACCAGAAGGAGGCGGAAAATTATGAGGCATTATTTTTTCATAGTTAAACAGTTTATGAACCAGATGTGAATATTGTCTTCTTAAAACTCATGAGTATGTTGTATACTACCCATTCGGCACAACAACGTTGTGTCAGCATTGAGAAACGGTTGAAACGTTGAGACTTGGTTGAATTTGAGAATTCGACGAAAAATCAACACCGATGAAACGCTACCTATTCGTAATTAGCCGTATTTTCAGCATTTGGCGACTACTCGTGAATTATCAAAGTCGTTCGGAGGCTATTTCGTGCAAATTCGTTTTACATCATAGTCTCACTGTTGTTCCTACATTATTCACATCATATCAACAGAAAATAGGTTCTACGAATCAACACGAGATGGTGCATAACCGCCAATTCAGCAATTCTTACCCTGTTGCTCTGAAATAAACAGTATCCCGTATTTTTCATACAGAACCCGATCTCTTCCCATGTACAACATAAGGGAAGGCTTAGGAATTTCTAGATAGACCTGCTTAAGGAGGTACTCCGGCAGAAGGAGATTCTGGCCAGTGGGTCCGAGGAGACATGCTTAATTTTCCAAAATCTCCACATGGCGCATGTACTCACTCGGGCTCTTCCGTGAAGAGTAGAATATGAAAATATCCCCTAGAGGTTGTTCCCCTCTACTGTGATAGAAAGAGTTGAGTCACGTAAGTACTCAGTTCGAATTCTCATCCAGTAAAGGAAACAAAACTCTGAGGTTATTTTACGTAGGATGATTGGATCATACATTTTGGGTACCGTCCGTGGGATCATCGTGTCTATATTCAATCCCATCGTCGACCAATTAACACTCTTTCAAACTCTGTATAAGGGAGGAGGTACTACAGTATATTGCGAACGTTGACAATTCAACGTTGCACAGCAACAACTTCTCTACGTTGAGCTGTGTTTTATTTCAATCTTTTCACAACATTGTTACGGTGAAAAGTCAGCCTTTCCTCAACGTTGACAGAACGTTGTTGTGCCGAATGAGTATGAAGCAGAAATTATTTTAATTACAATTAAACAAATACGCAAGTCACAGAGCTTTTATTTGTCAGGCATTTCTTGGCCACAACGTGCATGAATTTAAACGGAAAGAAAACGTTGACAGAGCTTCACAGTGCAACAACACGTTCACTGCCGATGAAGTACTCAAGCGTTATTGGCGATTTGCTGTTTCTATACCATACCTCCGTTTCTTAAAGGGCACATGGGGCGCAAGGGACGCGGCAAATAGCATGAACCATTTGACTCTAGGTGGCGCTCTCATTTCTGCGTAGCATCATATGTGAGACTTCGTTCGTTAAGAACTTGAAATGGCTGATGTAAACATCGATGAAGCTGTGGAAATTTGAGATGTGAAACCTGCTGACTCTCACCACGGAATGCGAGATGAGGTGGTGACCATGATGTCTCGAGGAGAGACTCCAAATGGAGTGAATGGACGTGTCGTCACACCGATGTTACTAGACCGACAGAAAATTCTGAATATTGGTGACCGGAGGATGAATCCCGGAAAAATACTTCTCAAGAATCCGGACGGACGGAAATGTGAAGGCCGAAGAAGAGGACATGTCCGGGAAAAACCGGAAGTATGGTAACCCTAATCCAGCGAGCTCAGAAGCAAGACGTTGGGTGACATGCACCGAATCTGTTTAAACTAATCTTATCTCACAATGGTCCCCTATGGGAATCAGTTTAACCAAGATAAACGTATTCCTATAGTCGCCCATTATGAAAACGAATCAGTTTAAAGTTAAACTAATTTGGTGCATGTCACTCGTCAATGTACCCCGCCGCACTGAGCGTTATCACTGATGCGCCTAATGCTCATGCGCGAGCATTGATCGTACGATGCGTGGTCCGAGGCTCGAATGCTCGGGGCTGTGCTGCGTAGGGAGCTCCGACTTGCCCGATCAGTCACATGGTTCCATCCATGTGGAGTTTGGACTACCGGTAGCGGGAAGGTAATGCTTTCCCCTCCCTTCAGAAAGTGGTTGTTTCTCGGGGCTGATGGGTTCGAAGCTGAAATTTCGTTGTTTTGTCGTCATCCTCGGCAAGCTAAATCCTTGCTAAAATGTAGGCACAATGAAGGTACCCAAGCTCAAACCTCTAACAACAGTCATGCTGGCTGTAGTGAATGCATACAGTGAATTCTAAATGATTTAATACGTTTTCGGATGTAGTCACAGGAGTAGTACAATGGAAAAGTTCTTACGGATATGAAATCAGGAAATGTAGGATATCAATGCGAGTTTGCGGAAAGCTACATTAGGCCTGTGGAATGCCTAAAACTAGAAAGCTAAATCTGGAGTCAACTTGTTTCTGTTCAGTTTCAGTTGTTACACTCGCGGGAAATAAGTAGATTTACTTAAGCATTTAGTCAATGGAACATCTTGCTTGTCTGACAAAACTATACCTAGGACTTACATCTTGCAAGCAGCCTATGGCCTTGGCAATCTAAAGCTTATCTTTAGCTCATGGTTTTTGTTTGGTGAAGGAACTTGGATTTAAATGTTATGATCATGACGATTGACTGTTTGTATTTCTTGAAAGATGTATGTGAAGTCAGAGGCCTGACATTAGGCCTATAATAGATGATCAATCCCCGTGCTTACATTGGCCATTGCCTCTCACGCTTTTTTAGACCAATTGGACATATGACTAACATGAGGTTGGCCATGGGGGATCAACATCACCCAAATTCCACTTCATTTCAAGATGGGGGTGCAAATCACCAATACCGAAGTGTGCTAAAAACTCGCAAGACGACAAGTGATCTCATGTGGTCCCTTCAACCCTGGCAGCCTAGTCACACTTTTAGAATGGGTTCCCCTTCATTGTTACCATCAAAACTTGTACCCCATGTACTGAGCAGCCCTCGTGTCAACAATGTCATTGATCAGGTGAGATATTCCAATGAATCATAGACCTTGTAATTGATTACTCAACTGCTTGAATTTAGTAGACTGTAATTTCCTGCCTGTATGTGATGACCAAAAGTTGATAGATTTCTTTATTAACTCTGTCCATTTATGGAGCATTTTCTCTTGTTCTTGTGTTTAAAATTTTAAAAGAAAGCGTATACTTTTCTTTGCAAATGTATGAGCTATGCAGAAATGGCAATTGGCATTTTAACTTTTTCCAGATGCTGTGCTTTGAAATTGGAAACAAAAGGATTTAGGATCCATTAGAAATTAAGTTATTTATTTTTTAAATTCTGATTTAAATTAAGAGTAAACAAACCATCAGACTCTTTTGATGAGCTGTGGTCACTCACTGAATCTTTTATTTTTTTATTTACAAAAAAATGCTTGAAGAAATCTGAATCCAATGTATTAGTTATTTTTCTATTCATATTAAATTGACATCCTATAGTTTGTTGTAGTGGTTGCCATTTTTTGCATTGCTAAGATGTTGAGTCTAATGAAACATTGGTTTTTCCTAGCTTTCTGAGGAAAATAGATGCTCAAAGAAGATCTTGGAGAAACAAGCAGCTGCAATGCTTGAGGAAATGGCTCACAACCAAAAAATGTGTTCTATACGTCTCTTTGGTATTTGCCTTGCCAAGCTTGGGAAGCTACTGTACAGAGACATTTATGTCAATAGAGATGGAATAGAACAGGTGATGATTGATGGATTTTCTTTCTGCAGTAATTCTGTCAACTCAATTTAACCTTGTGATAAATATTGTCAGGTCAGAAGCTTGATACCACATGGACCTATCCTGCTTCTACCTTCACATCGAAGTTATGCTGACTTCCTTCTCATGTCTGTGATATCATTTCACTATCATCTTCCGATGCCAGTCATTGCTGCTGGCATGGGTTAGTTGGACTGGTTTCTTATCATTCACAACATTTTCCCTCATCAAGGCCTTTAGTATTTATGTAGAGAGATCAGATGTGATGCCGAAAAACTGCAGAGATTATCCTAATATTTTCCTTGTGAGAAAGGAAGAAAATATGATTCTGCCAAAATGGAGTTGTTTCTTTCCCATTAATAGTGATTTAGACAACTCTGTGTGTCTTTTTTCCCCCATGGCCATACCCTCTAATTAATGTATTACCACCTGATTGCTGCAGATTTCATGAACATGAAGATGATGGGAGAGCTGATGAGACAAGCAGGAGCATTCTTCATCAGGAGAAGCTTTGGTTCAGATCGCCTTTACAAGACAATCTTCACAGAATATGTTCAGCAGCTCATCATGCAGGGGGATCACCCCCTAGAATTCTTTTTAGAAGGCACTCGAAGTCGTTCCGGGAAAGCTCTCCCTCCCAAACTTGGTACTGAAAAGTCTGCATACAGTTAGCTCTGTCATCAAGAACCTTTTTTAAATATATCATTGTTCCATTTCAGGACTCCTGTCAACTGTCCTTGAACTGTACTTGAAAGGAATTGTAAATGACATTTTTGTGGTACCAGTCCATATCAGTTATGATCGCACACTGGAGGAATCTCTGTATGCATATGAGCTTCTTGGGATTCCAAAGCCTCCAGAGTCCACTCGGGTGAGTAGGAATGAAGTTATAAAGTGAACCTACTTTTAAATAATGGGAAAAATGTGATTCTTGCATTATTGATAGTTGTCAAGCATCTTCCATCCTTTTCTTTTATAGGGGTTAATGAAGGCTTTATCAAAGCTTCAAGAGCCTCATGGGGATATCCATGTCACATTCTGCCCGCATTTTTCAGTCAGGGAATTTTTCTCATCGTGGATAGACTGCAGCCCTCACATCATGAGCCCCCACTTCATCTCTTCAGTAGCAGAACAAACTGTGATGGCAGAGCTTGCTACAAAAGTTTTGCAGTCACAGCTGAAGCATGGAGTTCTTCCCATCTTCCCTCTTGTCTCTGCCGTGGTCCTCTACAAGGAGGCTATGGATCTCAAGTGTTTGACCGAGAGGGTGTCATATCTTACCCAACTTGCTGCTTGGCAAGGATATCATATTACCAGTATGCTCTTCCTGGCATCCATGAGGATGATGAATAGGCTTGTGTGAGCTCAACCCTTAGTGCTTTTTTGGTGTTTCATTTTTAGCTTGTTCAGAAGCAGAGTTGGAGAGAGTACTGGCACTTCACTCAAACATCCTAGAGGTGAAAGATGGTAGACTGTCATTGGTGAAGGAGCGGGAACCCCTTGAACCTGCTTCTCTTTCTCGATCAAGAGGGCACGTGCTTCTTCAAAGTACAGTGCAGAAAGCCATTCCTAGCATTCGGCTACAGCATTATGCTAACCAGTGTCTACACATCTTCCTTGATCCATGTTTGCTCATCCTCATTGCAAATTGTAATCCAGTTCCCAAAGGTGAGTAGAATGATAATCAGAGACATTATCAACTCCATTGACCAATTTTATGAATCCATTCCATTGCTTCTGTTGCCTTGCAGATGTTCTCAGGGAAGAGTATAGGTGGTTGCGAATGTTACTTTCTCTAGAGTTTCCAACCATGCTGGAATTCCTTGATGATGTCAGTGTACTCATCTTCAATTTTCTGATCATGGTGATACGTGATGGTTCATTATGTACTCACTGAATGTTTGAATCTCCTCATTGTATGCACAGGAATTCAAGAGATGTGTCGACTTTGTCTTTCAACGCGATCTCCTATTCAGGGATGAGAATGGCATCTACCATGCTTCAGCATCTCCCTTGTTGAACTTTGCCATGGCTGCCTTCCGTCCATTCTTGACAACTTTTGCATTAGTCTGCCACATGCTTGCAATGGTTTGTATTTCGTGCTTATTATTATGATTGAGGAGAAGTTGCAATTGCAGGATAGTAGTGGATTACTGTAAAATATCAATGCTAAGTTTGTTAGGCTACTGATGAGAGGAAGGCTTGGCATGATCATTCCAGAACCCAGGCAAGGAAATAGATGCTGGAGCATTTGCCAAGCAACATCAAGCTCTGGTGGAGTCTTTACTTGTGACCAACAAAGATGAACTCATTGAGAAAGACAATTTTGCACTTCTCATGTATGATCTCCCAGTCCAGTCGCTCAAAGCATTGGAAAGTGTCAATGCCCTTCTCAAGTCTTCTGCTTCGAATGGGAAGAGAACATACAAGGTCAATGTTCCAGAAGTGGATTGTCTCATTAATCGACTGAGTTAGTTTCCACTGAGAATCGGTTAACTCAATCCAGCCTACTTTTAACTTTACAGCTAATTTTATGCTTTTTCGTGCAGAGAAGTATGTTCCAGTGGATGGCAGAAAGCTTCTCCGGGCACATCTCTGAATCTTCTCCCTGTGCATCAATGGGGCATGTCTACATAGTGAGGCTAGAAGAGGATCTTTTGTACTGCTATGAATGGGAGAAAGGATTTGCTATCTCAATTCCTCTGCACAAACAATCAAGAAAATTTAAAAAATACCAGAAGAAAAAGATTATTCCTTTTTTTTTGCTTTGAAAAAAAAGAAACAAAATTTTTCAAATGTTGATATGCTGTTTTTGAATTAAGCTTAAAGGGTTTTGAGAAAAATCTAATATTGTATAGAGTAAACATTTGCAAAGAGTCCTTAGCTGGTTCCAAATGCCTTGCTGCCCCAAAGGGTGAGTCCCTATTCCATGCAGCAAGCAGCATAAATTTCAAATAACACCATGTTAAACTTTGATTATAACCAAGTGCTTGTGTGAAAAATTTAGATTTATGGTCATATCCTTTGATGAAAGTAATTGAGAATGGCATTCCCACAAGTTTTCCCAGAGGTAGAAATGTTGCTCCATACTTTTTCCTGTAGTTTTTTAAAATTATTTCTTAAGTGGCTTCTGGAATTGATGACTATTAATTAAGGTCTGTAGAATGTACTTGGAAGAAAAACACCTGACTGAAATGCCTGACTGGAGGTGTAGGGGAGGGGAGTAGTTTTCTCTCATTGCATTTTCATTTTGACAGTTCTTGTACTTCAACAGGTCCACGAGTATTGTAAAAAAAAATTGTTTCCTTTCCCTAAAGTGAAGTTTCCATGCATTGAAATGCTTGTTTTTTGCAATAGTCAATCCTGAAAGAAAGATCAGCATCTCAAATTCTCCTTCTATAGTTAACTGACTCCTAGCCTGTCTTAACTACTAGTCACATCTAGTGAAACTACAATGTCCCATAATATTTTGAAATTTTGAGTCCTTTGGATTATCCTCTAGTCTATTGTCTTGCCTTCTCTCTGTGATATTTGCCCTTTGGTGTTGTGGAATGATTGTTATCTTTTTCTATTGCTTTTTATGTGAAGACAGCTCTTTGTTCAGTATCAGAAAATGTCAACTTTCATAGTTTTCTGTTCCATCATGAGATGAACTGCATCCTTGTTTGTGCCAAATTAGTTCTGGTGTTCAAAATGGAGTTTTTTTTGGATTCCATGCTTCGTCATGCATTTATGTCTTATGGGGCAGGAAGTTGAATTATGGCAGCATTTTTTGCTGGAGGAGTTTGAGGAATGTGTATTTATTTATATACCGAGCTTATTTCAAGCTCAAGTAAATTTAAACTCGCCAGTGTAGATTTCATTGACAGCATGCAAATTAGACATTTTTAAAAATACATTTGTGATAATCCGACATATGTTGTTACCATGATATGGTCAGTATTGTTCACTATGATGGACAAATAAATGATGTTGGATTATAGCAAGGTGTAGTTATTCTGTTATTGAGTGAAACCTAATATTTGAAAATTTGTTTAATGGTGAATGTGATGGAAAAAAGCACGTACACCCTTAACAGGAGGATGACAGGTGGATGTCAATTCTCTTACTCATTGTGCTGAGTAAAAGAAACGTTCTACGGAGGGGCGGAATGGATTCGATTTTTCTCCCATTTGGTACTGTTGTGACCTAGGGGAAATTCGGGGAAATTTCTTCAATGCAGACCGTTGTAAAAAAGATCCTGTACAGGAGGCGGAGAAGCTTGGGGAAGAAGATTGTTTGGAGACGTTGCCCCTGACCGCTCTAGCTACATCTGTCTGACTTCTTATATCAACAAATTTTGAATGCACGAGAGCTTGTGGTTAGGTACCCAGAAGTCAGAGAAACCCAAGATCGCCAGGGATCACGGAGAATAACCATATAAGTATGTTAGTAACATGCTGTAAACAGTAACTTGGCCCTTGACCGAACTTCGGGTAAAGAGAGAACGGAGCCCAGCCAATCAAGGGTCGAGGATCGGACAGGGCACTGGGCAGGGTACGTGCGCGCACGCGTGAACTCCCACCAACATGGATTCCGCCATTTTCTCTTGAGAGCATTGTGGGGAAGTATGAGGATGCGGCTCAATCCATTATAACGGACCGTCGATGTCCTACTCGTGTTAGGACCTACAACAGTCATGTTTTGTATTCTGGCGGTTTCTTTTCACTTTTGAAACCATTAGAGGTGAGACACAGGCATAGTCATGTCAGTCTAGCTCAGTGTCATTGAGTTAATAGCCTAGGCCTAATGTTTACGGACGTAATGTACCTTTGGCTGTATAGCAGATCCAAGCCTAGTTATCACAATGGCAACGAGATTCCTAAGTTTCCTAGACCTATGAGATGTCTAGGGCTTATCAGGCCTACATTTTTCCTTTCATCGGCTTTTTTCAGACGTGAATGGACGCCAACGCTTAGCCACAATTGCGTCAATTGAAAGTAAAATATAAGGCCATAATACTGAAACCTCCTTTAGTTAACGGTCCTTTAGGAATACATGGACTCCTGTGGAGGAATGAGAGTTCTTTAGCTTAAAGACCCCATTATTTTCCCTAAGTGAGGTTTGTGCATTCAGGCCTAGGGCTTCAAATACCTTTGGCCTTTCATGTACCTCACTTACCTTATCTTAGCGTAAGCGCTATGCAGGCGAGCCAGAATCATTAGCAATTTTCATCATGCAAATTACTTGCACATTTTTATTCATTGCCTTTGACACTAACTTAGTGAGGCTTTTCAGTCAGTTCATGTATTCCAGGCTATTGGACCTAGTTCGACAGTAGCAACAACAATGGTAACACAGAAGAACTACATAGTTGAGTTCCAAGGTATTTAGAGAGAATTTGTTTATAAACTCTATCCATTTTTACATGACATTTCTAGGTTTCTATGGTCCCTTGCTAGTTGTGTTAATGAAGGAATGGGGATGTCAGTAAGTTTCATGGGCCTCCAAACACATGCATCATCACTGAGTAGGAGGGGAAAGAGTCTCTTATCAATCTGAGACTAATGCACATGAATATTTTCAGATATTTTATGCTGTAGGAGAGGTATGCAAGTTGTCACTTATCTCTGACCTGCTTGACCAATAATCAGCAGCTGTTCCCTTTGACCTAAGGGCCCCTCAGCTCTTCAGTTGTTTTTATCAGTTATCTCTTCTGACTTCAAGTTTGAATTAAATTATTATATTTGCTGAAGCACTTGAAAAAGCATGTTAGTACATTTAAGATTCCTGCAAGTTGATTGGCAGTAGCAGATTTAATCACATTCTAGTTGTAGATTTGCATCAGATATTAGTTGAGGGAATTTGTAAGTGTCTATTCCCTCCAGATGAGATTCAGCAATGTACTGAGTGTGATTATGGTGTTGATTTCAATTAAAATTTGTGCCTCCTGTAAAATTTAAACCATGAAGGTGGAGGCAAGGATAAGAAGCCCCATGGACCAGGACTTGAGACTCAACCATGTACATATGTATGTCCAACTGATAAATTTTCTGGTTTTACAAATACTGATGCACCAATCTTAAATTGGTTTATGAACACTATAAAAACTTGAATTTCCTCTAACTGGGTATATGAATTTATAGAATTACCAAGTTTTCAAGAAAAGTATCATATACCTTGTGGCCAAAAAAATTACATCTCATCATAATTTATTTTTAGGCTTAAAATTTTGGGGTTATTCAGGTGTATTTGTTCAGAGTAGGACAAGATTATTCACCATGCTCAGTTTGTCTGATTACTTGAACATGGCAGATCTTACACTTGGAACACATACTCAAGGTTCCCTACAGGAAATCCTAGAGGCAGACAAATTATTGCTGCAAGTAGCAATAAGCACCCACCAAGAAGGGGCTTAGGGGCGAAGGACTGGGGGAAGTGGTGCTGGGTGATGGTAACTCTATTGGTCTATGGAAAGAAATTAAAATCCTTTTGATTTCCCTGTGGATTTCACTTTTGGTGCTCCTTTTCTGCTGCTTTCTCCAATCTTTCTATAATGTGAGCAGACTGTGGACCAGAGGAGCTTGTTCACCCTGAACTTGGAAAAGGAGTTCATGTGAGACCTGACCCTAGTAGAGGGGGTGTTGAAGAGTGGGCTGGCCCAAAATGTTTGGATGCTTTGATAGGAACCCCTCTCAATGAAGTCAAAGTATTGCTATGTGATATATCTGAAGTGAACCCACTTTAATCATTTCCAATGCTCAGAGGGGATCTGAATTTCTTTATGAACCCAGAAAAAGAGAAGGAAGAGATACATAAATGGTGGCAAAAGCAGTCAGGATCTTGATTGCAGAAGCAATATTGATATTGGCATCCTTCCTTGAAAGATGCTCTGAATGAAATTGCATTCCATAAATATGCAGTATTATTCTATTATAATGATAGTTGTCTTGTTTGCTCCTAATGCACAATTCTATTATGAGTGGAGGCTGAAGCCAGATTCACATATTTTGAAGTGGTTCTTCAGAAGAGGTTTTTTGCCTACTCCATGAAATGCTCCTTGATTACCCTTGATTACACCAGTAAGTTGAATTGCAGTTTCATGGCCTCATCACCCTCATTCAGTGATAGAATAAATAAAAAATTTGCCAACACCCATGGTACTCCTGGGTAATGTGGCATACAGTTTGAGTATCACTGCTTTAGATGATGTAATGACTGCCCTTATGTGACTACATTTACATAGAGGTTAGGTGCCTTCATGGATAAAACAAAAATAGGGGAACAAAAAAGCTAGAAGCAACCTAGTTGCTAATGCATATGCTCCCATAAGAATATCTACCAGTAAGAGGGGTAGGAGGAGCTTGCAATGTCCACCAAATTATGATCCATCTTGTAAGAGTTCCCTACCCATCTTCCTATATTTTAGGAATAAGAAATATGCATGTCATTCTGTCAGTTTTACATAGGAAAGTCATGATGCTTGCCATAGAGTCTTTATGCCCCCTCTCAGTGGATGGTGGTGGCAACAAAGTGTAATGTTTCTGCACATTGAGTAAGTACTGCAGTCAGTGCTTGTTATAACGAAATATGCTTTAACTAAAAATACCAGTAAAAAAATTCATTAGCATTCAGTTGGCCATAGCATTTCTCTACAAATTATAAAGCATTTTTTTAAATTATGGTGTAATGAAATATACCTTGTAACAAAGTAATTTCTTTGTACTGATTGCCATAAACAAGCTTTCCTATTGAAGTTACAAACCTCTTGCCAGTTCTGTCTCAGCAATCTGATGATGAAGTAGGTACATGGTTATAATTTTAGCAATCTATTACATATGTGCTGATGATCAATGAGTCATGCTCATGCCCAAAGCAATACTTCATAGCATGCAGTAATGTATTTTTACTAAATCTTCAAGTATGACAAGCATTTTACAACTGAAAAAGAAATTGTTCAAAAGTTAATGAAAATACATAACAAAGGAGTGGATTTATATGCAAATGCATATTTTTTCTGCAGTCTCCTTTGAACATGCTACCCAGATAGGATCATGTCTCATTGGTAGAAGAAGCCATTTATGACATTTTAAAAATGCATAAAAATGCATATTTTCATGTTTTTCTCAGCATTTGCATATTTATGCATATTTCACCCATTTTTATGGGAAAAATAAGGGTTTTCCAGGAAAATGTGCTTTCTTTATGAGCTATCAATGAAAATTTTCATTAAGCTAGGAAGTCCAACCAGCAGTGTAGCGAGGAGGGGGTGAGTTGGTGAAGCCCCCTAACTCTGCTTTAAATTCATCTGTCACCTCCACCCTTCCAAAGAAGTTTAGGAAATTCTTGTCCTCATTCATTTCCCGTAGCCCTCCATTGGCAAATTCTTGGCTTTGCTGCTGGCTGTGACAAGAATAGACCAACTATACCCAGTAGAGGCATTACATTAAAATTCCTCCTGAAAAATTTTTACTTCATTTAAGAAAACATGTTTTTGCATTTATCCCATGTTCGTGCATATATCATGCATATTTTGGCATTTTTAAGCACATATGTATGTGCATATTTTAGGACTTAGCGCATAAAAATCTGCTCCATAATGATAACAAATGAAAAATGAGCCCCCTTGAATTCAAAGTAGCAAGCATTGACTGTACTACTTCTAGCACCTGCTAGTCATAGAAATCACTCTTAGCCATAGGTATTCATAGTGAGATGGTGAGGAATTAATTTGATCATCACTGTAATGGACAAAATTGCATTTTGACATTCTTACCAGAATCATGAATTTTAAGGTGTGGTGATTCCCCCCCCCCCCCCTGGGAGTGGCCAAGGATGATATCTAATTGCTCAGAGATGATGCTATTCAGTGAAAACCTCCCATATATGCTTTCATTTGCTAACCTTATTCAACACAAATTAGTAATTTTGGGAGCTGCAAATGGGTTTGAAAACTTCCATGAGTTGTTTTCTTTCATCAATCATGCAGCTTTTCCTCCTCCAGTGTGGATAAATAAATTTACTTATTTAGCATCATATTTCATTAAACTATTCTCTTACTTGTTGCCACTTTAGCTGCATATTTTATAAAAGTTTTCAAAAAATGTCAATAAAGGTTAAACATGTTGCCTAAGGTGTATTGCATGAACACAATGTCAAAGTTTGTATATTTTATAGAAAATAGCAATGCCCAAAACATCAAGAGTGGCATATTTATGAAGGTGAGGTACCCCTATGAGATTAGAGTGAAATATGGCATTGGTACAACATGCAGTTGAATATACTTCCATGGGACTTCAATTCCAATTAATTTATTATGTCCTTTTGGTGACAGTCTTAAA